TTGTTTATGTAATTTGTGACCTGAGATGTAAGCATTTTGTACATATCAGCTTTACAACTTTTACACTAATAAAATGTTTACGTCAGGCGATTGCTGTTTTTAAAATTTTTTCCGATTTTAATACAAATTCGTCCGTCTCAGATCACAATTTTATGTCTATTTTAATCCTCTGAAAGGATTTTCAATTCCGTTCAGTCAATTCGGAGAAATTAACTAAACTGTAATTTGTCGGTAATTCCGACCTTTCAGCATCCTCTTAAGGCCATGCTAGAATACCGACATTTACATTCTAATGGATAACTCCGAAACGACTGAACGTATTTAAAAACACTTTTACAGGATTGAAATAGACATAAAATGTCATCGCGCTAGGTGAATAGTAGAATACGAATAGTAAAAACGAAAAAATATTAAAAAATTACCTTTTTTTGGGATATCATAATGTCACCTGACGTAAACATTTCACTGGTACAAAAGTTCTGCAGCTCATATGTACAAAAAAAGTACCTAGCGCGCATCGGATTACTTGCACGAATAATACAAGACGTTTTGAGCTACGATTGAAAGCATAATAAAAACAATTATCGCTTAGAATGCAATTTGTGGTAATTCGTACGCTCGGCTGAGGTAAAGACAGCAAAAATTACGTTTGGCAGTAGTGCCGGATTTTCCAAGAGATGGTACTTCAATAAGTTAGATAAGGACATTCCACATGTTTGAGTGAGACAGAAGATATTGTAAGAAGTTCATTTAGAGGTACCACTGACACTGAAGAGTCTGCTTTATCGACCTTGTACAAATTTTTTCGACCTTCCAGCATCGCCTTAAAGGAGGAGAAATAGAGATTGAAGGGTAAAGCAGAAAATGATAAGGAATACAATTGTTTATAGTATTTATTGTTTTACAAAGTTTTATTTAAAGTTTTATTAAGAACTTTCTCAATCATCAAATTCCTGAAGAACAGGTGGGATTTGTGAAAGACAAAGGTACAAGGGAACAAATTCTCAATGTACGTCAGATTATTGAGAAGAGCCGTGAGTTCAACAAACCGGTCGTGCTATGTTTCGTCGACTACGTGAAAGCATTTGACTGTGTGAGTTGGGAGAAGCTGAGGAAGGTCGTAAAAGAAATGGGAGTATCGGAACACCTAATCAGTCTTATCCGCATTCTATATCTGGACAACGGAGCCTATGTAAAGATCGACTCCCGGTACGCCAATGTCTTCAAGACAAGAAGAGGAGTACGACAAGGATGCATTCTGTCTCCTATGC